TGTTTCCGTCTGATCTGCTTGCCTGCCCTGTCTTCTGACTCTTGGCTGATCTCTGTCTGATTGTGTACCGACCGAAACCGTTTCCCCAACCGCTAAGTCTGCCTGCCCTAATTTCCAGCATGCTAGCCACACTCTGTACTGTACCTAGAACTGTGACCCAAATCCATCCTGGATTCTCCTTTAGTACCCCTCTGACCACGTCACCGACATCAGTTTTGGCTTCGCTCTCTGGATCATCTTGCCTACATTTGTCTGCTCAGTTCTGATCTCCTGCCTGTTCTGCAACTACCCATATATTAGTGTCTGAGACTCTCTGCGCACCGACCGCTGTGCAGCGTTGGGTTCCAGCTGGCTGGAGCCATCATCTATCTCTAGATTCGGACTGAACTATAAGACCAGGTTAGTGACTCCCAAGTTAATTCTCATCCACTTCCAGAAAGATGTGATCACTAACCTGCTATCTCCATCCACAAAGGTTCCCGCCTTAGATGCCGACGCTGCTCACTTTGATTCTGTTGTCAATAAACACTGTGTGAAATCTGTTTGTCCACCTTGAATACTGGATCCTTCAGTTCTGAGCCTGAAACAAAGTACTTTACGGGCCCTCACTGACAGATCTTTCCCAGTAAAGCACCTTTAGGAACTTCAGATCATGCATCTTAGAAAATAAGCTCCCAAATCTGCAGCAACTGATTGATGCTACCACTTAATCTTATGCAAAATATCCGACAATGTTTCTATTTTGCTCAGTCTAAGACTTAGACTTAATTTTAAAACTGGGTCTAAGCTGACTTGGGAAAAGTTGTTCTTACAGTAGACAGTATGTTATTTCTTCAAGTTTTTAATGTATCTATTTTATTTGATCTTTTCATAAAATATCTACTGAGCCCTTACTCTTTAGCCTAGTAAACTAGCCCCACCCGCCAGCGGCCAAATCATTTTTGCCTACACCTTTCATCTCACATTTAGTCTGGTTTATCAGGCCACTATAGAATGTAAATTTTGGAATTTAATTTGAATTGTTGGGCTGCTAATCCTAAAATTGAGGGGAAAAAAATCTATTTTTAATACTTTTAAGGGGTCCTGACTCAGTACATCAGCACAGAGAACCTAGTTAGCTACATGTACAAGAAGTATTTTTCTCAGCCAAAGGTTAGTTTAAGATGTTTGGAAATTCAAAAAAAAAAAATGGTGGCAATTGTTTGTCTTTGGATGTGTCAACTGGAAGTGTGTAATTATTAAAACAGTGAGAGAATGGAAATCTTGCTCCCTTATTTCAACATACCCAGGGCAAAAGGAGTAAAGAGAGATATGTGTTGCTGTGCTTCCTGTCTACGTAGGAGGGAAGAAAAGTCGAGTAATTAGCAAAGTGAAAGCTGGAAAGCTCTCCTTTTTTAAACCTAATCAGTTATCATAGTAAATTTTCAGAATACTAGATACATAAACTGGAACAAAAGTAATTAAACTACATGAAATCTGCAGTGTATAGATGCAATTGTGATAGAATAAATTAAGAATCAGTATATATGATGACTAAGAATAGTCATCACCGTGACTATTGAAAAATTGGTCATGAGATGGGGATCATACCCACTATCCTCTTGTGACCAAACATCGATAATTAAATTAAATATCTACTATAGCCCTTTGTTCAAGTGAATTCAAGTGAAAATTCCCCCAAAAATAGTTGAAAGAAATCGAAGAAATATTTTACAGCACTTGCATGAGGGAACGGGAAATCCAAAAATAGGCTTTAGACAGCTAGTAAAACAGGAAGAAAGAGTGGCTTGAAAGGTTCTAACACATATGCATATTATTTGGCTTGAAAACCCAAATATGCTTCATGGGGGTATGGGGCTATCAGGAAGAAAGAAAACTGTAAACTGATATGAAATGTTTTATTTTTATCTTACCTTTGTTTTCCCTCATGGCCAATTGTGTGATATCATTTAATGTCGAACAGCAATGCTTTTAATTTTTAGACCCAAACACCATTAGGAATTATGAAAAGGATCCAAGGTTAAAGGTTTACCTACTACATGCAAAGTAGCACAACTTTAAATGCCTGCTAAAGGTAACCATCTTCACCTGCAATCTTCTTGTAATCAGTGTGTGAGAATAAAGGGTCAGTGATATTCTTGGTTACTTTTTAATCCTTTTATCTCTCATTCAGACTGGCACTGATGTTACTGGTTTCTGATTAATGAGGCAAGAAAATAAACGTAAGAGAAAATCTGTGGCAAAAAGCATTTGAACTGTATTAAAGGGATGATAAATATGGCAAAAAATGGAAATATCAATCAGCAGTGTTCAAACTTTATTAATTCATTAAAATTTTCTCAGCAATTGTCAGAAAAATCTGAAGGCAAATTAAACTAAACAAATAACGCTGTTCAGTGTGTAGCCTTTTGATCCTGGATCCTTTGGGTAATTTCTCTTGGAACTAGGATTTAAATACAGGGCATGTAAACCTATTAGCACAACTGTAACATCCTTGCAGTTTTGTTTTTTTTAATGTCCACTATGGAGGAAATGAGATGTACTGCTCGATGATGGCTTGTATTACAATAATTGGAAGAGACAAACAGTAATAATAAATAATGGTTTTTCAGCAGGTATGGATTCATCTGGTAACAGTTGCCAATTCAAGCCCCTGGTATTGGTCAGACGGCCCAACGTCACAAATAAATGACAGCCTTGCTTCAGCAGGGCACAGGGAACCTGTGGCTACGATGTAGCTTCCACTGTTAGTGTGTGAGGGTAGGTGGTGTGAAGCGATTTAGAGACTTACAAGTAGAGGCCATTTATCACTTCCTTAATTCTCCTTTTCTTGTAGATGCAGCGATAAATAACAACACAGAATTTATTCATCAAAAATCTTGTATCTGTATGATTTTAGACCAACACATATGAACCTTTACTGTAGAAACTATATAAACTAAACCTTAAGCTGTCAGAACTCTGTTGGCATGGCTGATGAAAAGAAAGGAAGCCTGATGCTTATTTTGGGAAAGAGTCTATTGCTTTTGCTCAATTATTGAAAAAAGATCTCATGATGTATAGTGAGGTGTGGCTGCTTATAGAGAAAGAAGGAGGAGTGAGTAAAAGAAGAAGAAACTAATGGTATTTGCATCATATCATTCAGACAGGAAGTGGTAAGCCGCTGCAGTGGGTGCGGGGGTTGCAAACGCAGAGACGCCTGTACTGTGCAAAGGTTGCAACGCTTTGTACAATCGGATTTTTGAAGAGCATTGCAAAAAGAGCTAAATCATCTATCTATCTATCTATCTATCTATCTATCTATCTATCTATCTATCTATCTATCTATCTATCTATCTATCTATCTATCTATCTATCCGTCTGTTCATCCGTCCGTCCACCCGTCGATTTATTACATTCTCCACATTAAAAACCGCAGGGAAAGTCGGTGAAAATCATTGATGCCAGAATTGCAGCATCTATCTGCAAAAAGTATAATAATTTTTTTGTATTTTGTATTTATTATTATTATTCTTTTTTGCAAGGCGAAATTAAATCATCACGTGAAGTGGATGCAAGCAGAATATAAAAATCTGTCAAATGACACATTGATTGACAATGGGATTGATGCGTACATTAAACAAATGACAAATGCCACATTGTCCCCTGTTATTGTTTACTGTTTTCCCCTGTTATTAGAAATGTGAACATGACATGTTTTTTAATAATGGTTCACGATTGCAACCAATGAATAAATGTGAACCTCACAAGGGGTTCATCTAATCAAAATTTAGTTCGCATTATCTTTATAGATCATAATCTGTAATTTCTATGTTTTCTTCTTTGTCCAGGCAACATAATGTTATAAATCCTGGCTTTGTTTTTGTCTGTAGTGCACAGCACAGTTTTGATGTTATTATGGGAAATTATATAAAAATTAATTATGTGGAAATTTCAGGTAATTTATCAGCTAAATATTAAAATTTAAGAAGTGTTTTGCATTGTTCCCTGGGGAACACGCAAAAAAATACAAATGTCAAATACATCCTTATTCCTGTAATATTTAACAGACCAATTTTTAAACAAATTACATTAGATTTGATATGTTACGGTGTTCTAGTTACTGTGTAACTAGAAACTAGTTTTTTCTACATTAATAGTCAGGCTACATCGTCATACGGAAGAGGATTAGGGCCACTGAAAAAATAAAAAAAAGTTAACTTATTTTTAAATATTATTTCAGTTTAATTTGGGAAAAAAGTCAGAATTCTGACTGAACTCTGACAGCTAACAAGCCATGTCTGTTTTAGAGACTAGCTCTATTGTTTTAATCACCTTCTGCTCTTCCATTAATAAAATGGCATGACCGGGGATCCCTCTGGCACGTAAAAAGTTGCCTAATTCCCTCATTTTCAACCAATGTGTCACTGGAACTCCCAAACAACTCGCATCATTTTCAGTGAAGCTGAGTGCTCCCATATCTCTTCTTTCATGGTGCCCATCTACTAGCCAGAATTCTTAGATTAAAATCAGAATTCTGAGATTAAAGTCTGAATTCTGAATATTTTTTCCCATATTAAACTGAAATAAAATTTAAAAATTTGTTAACTTTTTTTTTTTACATTTTTTCAGTGGCCCTAATCTTACTCTTCCATTTCGTCAGGTTCTCTCATGGGGGTAAATTTGCATAACAACCTCCCCCCACCTTATCAGAGAGAACAAGATGCTAAACCATGAAAGAACCTCATAGTCCAATGTTGAGAAGAACAACTGTAAATACGTTGTTTTATCGTGAAAATATCTCACTCTGTTATCTTCGAACACAGAGATGTTTGCTGTGGTTTCTGCTGCAGCAACCACAGTCTTGTATGCTCTGTAGCCATGACACTTATGAACAAAAAAAAAACCTGACATGACCAAGATTTCATTTCTCAATACAGTTTCGGTTCTTATGATACAGTTATACTGCACAGGGTGCAGTTGGAGTCTCAGTCATGGGGCACACTCGATGGAGTAACTTCCTCTTTTCTCTGACAATTGGTGAGATGTCTTTTTCTTTTTTTTTCTGTCTTATAAAAAAAGTTTAATTTTAATTTCTAATCCACTGTAGATGTGCAATTTGAGCAGATTAGAGTTTAAATCTACTGTATACGAATGATCTGATTACACTTTGGTTTTTCACTACAGGTGTTTGTGTCTTAGTCTTGCATCAAGTTGCTTCAGGTCAGTCACGGTCAAAAAGCATACATGCATTTGCTTTAAATTATTTTTATTTTTTTTGCAGCTTCTATTAATACATTTTTTGTAATGTCCTGTTTCTTATTAGAATCTGCTAAATTAGAATTTCCAAAATGCTATGGACTCATTGGAAACGATAGTAAAAACTGTGATAAAGAATTGGACTTCAACAGGGCACAAGCACATTGCAGCAAATCCAACTGTGGTAATGCACTGAAGCCAGAGGAGAAACTCACATCAAAATCACCTTCTCCGTGTGCAGGCTTTAATAGTGAATATCATTGTCAATATAATGACACCAACGGCTGTAAATTGGTGTTTGCTGTTTGTTCAGGTAAGTTTCTCAGTTATACTATAAATGATAGAGTATGGTTTAAGTCACAGGTGTCAAACCGGTTCCAGAAAGGGCCGTGTGGCTGCAGATTTTCTTTCCAACCAAGCAATATCACACCAGACTCCAGTCACCTCATCAAGTGAGTCCAATCTGAACATGATGACTTGATGAGATGACTGGAGTTTGGTGTGCTATTGCTTGGTTGGAAAGAAGACCTGCAGCCACACGGCCCTTTCTGGAACCAGTTTGACACCCCTGATTTAAGTTGACAAAACAGGACTGGGTCCAGTTTGCAAAGGTTTGCACGGTGGTGTTACTTATTTTAATTAACAACTCTTTATTCTCATCTTTTCCAAAGACATGCTATGCTGTGTTTTTACGAGTTTATTGTGTTTCTTGCTGTCTTAATAATACAAACCCCTACAAATCCGTAGTTCCTGTTGGAATTGCACATTTGCAGACTCCCCTAAAATGACACAAATACGCTCATGATATGAAAAGGGGGTTAATATTGGATTTTTTTCAGGAGAAAAAGAAAAGTACAAGAGGGTACAAAGCAGACTGCTTCCTGAAGGATCTTAGGTCCTTCAAGTGTATGCAGCAAAATGCTACATGTCTTTGTCCTTTGTGGAGAGTGTGATCTCGTTATCTGTTGGGGTAACCCCATCAGAGGGATTGATTTAAAGAAGCTTAATGGGCTAATAAAGAAGGACGGGGTTTGTTCAGCACTCCTTAGACTTAGACGATTTCTATTTCAATGCATACAGCTTTTCAACGGTGATCGAGCAGCTTACAACAGTGAACATTACCATTTATAATGTGCAGCAGTGATCAGAATCTAAACAGTGTAGAAGCAGTCCTTTTTTTAAAGCATCTCCAGAGTTTCCTGCGGAGGATGAGGAGAGCCCAACTGCCCCCCATCCTTCTACAGAAGCACCATAGAGAGTATTCTGACCAGCTGTCTCACCAGTTTAAAGTCACGGTGCAAAAGGAATTGATATGGAAACATTCAGGGCAGTGCAAAATAAATAAATATGGTGCAAAATGCAGTAGAACATTGAGTTGTCTCCTATTGAAAGGGATTATGAGAAAATCATACCATGTTGGTAGTGAAAATATGATGTTTTTCTAGTGTGATGCAGAGCCTTGATTAGAGTTTCAACTGTTTAACAGTCTGCATAGAAAAAAGCTGTTGAAGAACCTGCTGGACCTGGAGCTGATGCTGCAACGCCTCTTCCCAGAGGGCAGCAGGAAGAACAGTCAATGGTGGGGGTGTGAGGGGTGGCTGATAATCAGACATGGGCAATGTGAAGTCAACAAGTCATCTCCATGTCATGCATTTGTTCTACCCACCCACTGAAGCAGGTGAGTCCAATCTTCACCGTGAATTAACCTGTGCAGATTGGACTCACCTGGTTAATTGGCTGGGTAGATTAAATACATGACATGGAGATGACTTGTTGACTCCACATTGCCCATGTCTGCTGATAATGTTACAAGATAAACGGCGCTGGAATGATATGTGTTTTATGGTGGGAAGAGGAGCCCCAATGATCCTCTCTGGAGTTCTCACCACTCTTCTCATGTTCTTCCAGTCTGAGGAGCTGCAGCCTCCACACCACACAGTGAGACAGCTGGTCAGAACGCTCTCTATGGTGCTTCTGTAGAAGGTCGCAAGGATGGGGGGGGGCAGGTGGGCTCTCCTCATTCTCCCCGCAGGAACGTCTGGAGATAGAGAGAACAATTCTTTATATGAAGGAATCTTTTTCATCAGACTGCCGCACGTCAACAATGTGTCCCCAGTCAGAGGTTTTACCAGGACTGCTGTAGGACAGACTGCTACAGAATATCCGTCAACAGCATCTTCAACTTCTTAAAGTAAACCTTATAATATAAGTTGCAGCATTGAATTTCTCCTTGGGATAATTTTTTTTCTTTATTATCTAAGGTGTTTACCTTCTGCTATGGGTTACAAGATTTTAAAGTTCCTCATAATATTCTATCATTTTAGATGTAAAGGTTGATTATCTCTAATGGTTGTTATGCAGAATGGAGGAGCTTAAGATCCCTGTGGTTCTCTATTGACAAGTTTTGCATATGTTACTGTATACCTTCATGTCCATCGAAAGGGCTGTGTGTACTCTCGCAACAGTGTGTCGCAGTTAGCTTGTCGCAGGTATGACGCAGATATTTTTGATTTATGCCCAATTTTGAAGCGTGGTCTGCGCTATGTCATTTCACGCCACAAGGCAAGACGGACAATCACGAACTAGCTATGATTGTGGGTGTCTGTGTGTTGGTTTGACGAGCTTGTTCGCCATCTACAACCCCTCATCCAACACTGGACACAGTTCACTCGTGTTCCTGAAAGACTGGCCATCACGCTGCGTGTTTTGGCTTTGGGTGCAAACCAACAATCCATCGCACAGAGCTACAAACTAGCGGCCTGTAAGGCGTCTGGGATAGTGTCCGAGATGTTCCAGGCATTGTCGATGGCACTACAGCCAGACAGAGTTTCGGTCATTAGGCACCAAACAGGATATCTATGTTAACTGCAACACACACACAGAAGACTTGGTTTCTCAGCATGATCCAGGCTTTACTGTGTGATTGTGACAAGATAAAAAATGCTGTGGTTCAAACCTTAAGAACATTTTTTCAGAGAATGTAGCATTTTTCTCACCATGGAATAAATGTGTGTAATTTAGATTACTTTTAAAATAATTTTAGCTTTAGATTAATGCTCCTAAAAGTTTAGGATAATTATTTTGAAATGTTTGTTATACCATTTTCTAAGGGTACTGACAATAACTTTTTTTATCCCCTTTTGTTTCCAGCTGCACTTCCACAGCCCACTATCTCACTGACACTTCCTAATGGGAAGCTGGTTGAATCAGGAGTTGCAGAAATCCCCAGGGATACTATACTTTCCTTCAAATGCTCAGTGAACTCATCGTTCAACTCAATTAATTTTTCCCTGATCTACAACGGATCAATCCTTAACAAATCCAACCCAATAACAGGCTTAGCTTCTGTTGACTTCCCTGTGCCTGAACACAAGGGCAACTATAGTTGCATGTATCAAGTAAATCTAAATGGGAAATACAAGTCTAAAGAGACAGAAACGATTCATGTCCTTTTTACAGGTAAGCAGACTATAGTGTTGATGCGTTTTGACTAAGGGACCCACATGCCACACGATTTGCTGTAGAATGCTTGAACTTAGCAACTCAATTACTAATGTAAGATTATTGTTTAGATATCCGATCCAGTGCTCAGTAGCTATTTTGCTTCTAAGCCAATTCTAACATATTTCAGCATCAGAGCAAACAAGACTAGACCTAACAATGAATCAAGTATATCCTTAATATTTAGATGTATAAAGTTATGTAGAATTAGGCAAGATGCTTAAAAGATGTAATTTAGTGAAGCCTAAAACAGAATAGATTTTGCTCTTCATTTTGCAGCAGTTAATGTTTAAAAGTGGTGTTAGGATGCTACTGCACATCATGGATGTTTGCTGAATTTTTTTCTTCCATTATTGAACTTAAAGAACCATGGTGGAATATGCTGCTCTACATCTTGCCTGCTGGGATCCTGATGCTTCTCCTGATGGTTTTCTTGGTTGTCGGCCTGGTCTGCAGGAGAAGACGACGAGCCAAAGAGCCGATTCCTGTGGTTCTAAATCAAAGTCAGTGCTAATGATGAGATCTCACATATGTTTGATGTTTTATAAGTAGAAAGAAAATATTTGTGGTGTTTGAAAAGCTTATTCTCATGAGAACTCTCATTCTCTTGCACTCCTATTTTCTAGTTACGATCAGGAACAGTTACGCAGAGGATGAAGATGAGGATGATGGGGAAATGGACTACGTCAATGTTGAAAAAATGGTCAACAAAAGCCAGGGAGCCAGAAATGGGGGTGAAAAAGATGGTGGCGCACATTGCTATAAAACATCTCGGTTGGATTATGCTTCTAAAGAGAGGAAACAGCAGAAAAGGCAAGACAACAGTGATGATGAGCACGATTATGAAGAGGCTGACCAGGGATGTGCTGCTGCAAAGAGTAACATAAAAAAACAGAGACACCAAGAGGACAGTGATGATGAGCACGATTATGAAGAGGCTGACAACAGATCTCCTGCTTCAGAGAGTGATTCAGAAACAGAGTCAGATGAAGAGGAGAGCAGTGATGAAGACCACAACTATGTCAACTTAGCAGAGGAAAATGTGGCCACCAATCTAGATGATTCTATATATCAAAACACTTAGATGACATCATGAAGACATTACAGCATGTATCTCAGGCACATCTCGTACTTGAAAAGGTGTTGCTTCTGTAGTTTAGTAATGTTGCATTATAGTGTATAAACAGTATACTGTAGTAAAGACAGATCTGCCTTTACAGAAACGACCAAACTTTGAGTTTGGAGAATGTCTCAAAAAGCTGAACTACAGTATATCCATGTCATTCCTTTGTTAATGCAAACCCTAAAAAGGTTAGTGCAAGAATATGATCTTAGTAATACAGCAAACACTTTCGGAAACGTGCACAGATATTTAATGTAGAGCCTCAGGTGGAGCACTCCATCAATGAGTTTATTTCTCTAACTTTCTTATGAAAAAGTTTGAAATAAGCACATACTTAGATTTATATGAGTAGGTTTGTGTATGGTTAAGAGTTTTTGACTTTATGTGGAACTCGATATAAATTATTTAAATATATTTTTCAAAGACATAACTCAACATTTTTATGACTTTTCCTTTTGAATTGCATTTTGATTTGATATACCTGTTTATTTTTATTGCATAACTGTGAGAAAGGTAGGAAACTCTAAGCTCGGGTTGTGTTTTGTCATCGCTGTCTAGGGGTAGCCTGTTGTTTTCCTAAGCAACAGTGTTTCTTGCAATTAAAAAAATTGCAAGATTCTAATTGTGAAATAGTTCATTTGTAAATATTTTAAGAGGAAAACCAACTTTGAATGAACCAAGTATACAAAATTCGATAAATATGAACCAAAACTGGACTAAGTTTATGTTAGTTGATGCCATAATCTATTTTACACAGTGTGTGAAATCTAAAACATTTAGGTGAATTAAAAAAGTGAATCCATTCATTCTAGCTAAATACAAGATTGTGAATCCTTTTGTCTGGCAAATTAGATACACTGGTACACCCCTATAGCAGTGACACTTCTATTTGATAAAGTCCCATTAAAAAGGAAACCCTTTATTGATAACAATTGGCACTCATACTATGCCATCACATCAGCAACATCGTTATTTCAGAGAAAAACTTTATTTTAAAATAAATTATTCAGAACAAAAAAAGAAAGATGATGTTTGTTTCATATGATTTTAAAATTTTCAAATTTCACAGGAAATCTCACATGGTCAGTGTTGCTGACATTTTCTTGCATACTATGCCATTAAGATGCTATGCAGGAAGTTGCATAGGCATTAATTTTTAAATAACATTTTGCACTTTCTAGGATTAATCTTGGCAATTTGTTTCCAATAATCCTTCCATAATACTGCATTGGTCAGGAAATAAAGGAATTAAAAACAACTTGAGTACATTTTTGAATTTCAACAGAAATGAATTGACATTACTGAAAGAGGAACTAAGTCTGCTTATTTTAGCGCTACTTCAACAAGAGCACAGTACAGCCTATTCAGTTAATGGGTTATTACAGGCGATGCACAAAATGACTATCTGGTAATAATTAAAATCAAACTTCCCTTTGAGATGACTAAACATACAATTGCAGAGTTATGCTCTGCTGAGAAGAAATAAACCTGCAAGTCGCTACAGAGCTCTATCAAGCTCTGGGAAAAAGAAAGATTAAGATCCCCCTTCCTCAATCAGTTAAATTGTATGCATGAGTTTATTGAAATGTTGTCAAATTTGCCTTTCGAAGAAGAAACATGACTATCAAGCTTCTGCTCCCTTTTATGTCAGAAAATTTATTTTATTTTCTCTGCTAATCTGAGTGGAATACAGACTCAATGCCGTTAGTACAATTGTTTGTGCATATTACCATCAGATTTAATAGTCAGAGACTTGATACCATCCAGTAAGCACTACTTTTCCTCAATCTGCTCATACAGTAGGCACCAGCACCCCTCGTGACGAAAAATGGTTGGATGGATTAATGGTTATACACTGTACATAACAGGAAAAAAAGAAGAAATCTGCTTTTTATTACCAAAATTGGATTTCACTTGGGTATGATTAGTATTTTTTGCTCAAGGGGGAACTCCCTCCATATCTCAAGTGATTTGAAGTTATCAATCCAACAATTGTTCTGTCATCGCTGTCGGTTGGAGGGGGAGGGAACCTCCTTCCCGCAGCATGATGCTGCCACCTCCATGTCTCATAGTCGGGATGGTGTTGGCAGGGGTGGGTGAATCACGCTAATCATCAGCTAAAAAGAAAAGTAGCTGCGCCGTGCAGATCAGCTGTTAAAAAGAGTCATTTCCTCATAACTGGCACGCTCTGCCTCACATCAGTTCTCCCCGATTGGAGAAAGACTGTTTGTTTACAGTGTTGGCACAGTGCTGTTAAAGTATGAGTTTTCTGGAGGAGGCACTCTTAGCTATTTTCTAACTGCTAGTTTTCAGAGGAGAGGGAGGGACCGTTACTCAGACAGCAAAACCACTGAGGATTACACAAAGATGCATGAATTAGGTGAAATACCACTTTGTGCATCATTTTGATGAAGGGATAAAACAACTTACTTTGCATGATAAAAGTCCCTTATCTTTGGCATCAAATAAGTAGAACTACTGTTTCCACATGGAAAAGGTTGCTCTGTTAATTGCTGTAGCTCCTTAGATAGGCTGGACCTCTTGAGTGTTACTCCAATTAGAGAAACAATTAGTAATAATGATTATGTCATCATGAATTAAGGTAACTTCCCTATAGCCATTTTCTCCTAGTTTTTCCTCCTTTCAAACCTAAAGGTACCCTGCAGAACTACTTCAATGCAGCATCTATGATCTTCTTAGTAATTGCATGTGACCCAATTGATCCACCACAATGAGTCAGTGTGAGAGATGCAACTCACACAGCACTCTTGTAGCCCCATTTCTCCAGAGCCAACTTCTGTCAGACTTCTTAATCCTTACAGCAGTGCAAAAAAAAAATTGAAGTCACAATATAAAAATATGTATCACAAGGATTTTAATTCTTTGCAGAAATGTTCTCAGAACTGCTACTGACTCTAAAGCCAAAAGGAGAACCAAGCACTTGTGATAAGTGTTCAACCAAACCAAACAAGCACTGTAGGAGCCATTTGTCCTTTGTGTTTATCGCCACCAGGGGGCGTATTCTATTTTGAGTTATGATTGTTTAATGGGGGATGGGGTTATTTAAGGTCAACCATGATTCTGTTCAGGTGTTGTTAATGAGAGGAGGCAACAGTTTTCTACTGTGTTCAGTTTAGATTATGTCGAATTTATGCATTTATGTAAAAGGCAAGTAGTAAAAGTATGGACATTGTTATAAAGTATTTAAGTCAAACTAAAGATCTGCAACTTATAACTGACTACTGTACATATCAAAGACTTTTTTTCTGCAACCATTTAAGCTTCTGACAGCCGTTTGACTGAAGGGCTTACAGCAACTACTGTATGTAATGATGCTGTATAACAGGAGACAGAAGTAATGCTTTGAAGACTCCAAACAAGACAAAGAACCTTTGGGCAGCCTCTCTATGGCACATCAGTGATGCCTTACATATTAAAATCGCTTAACTTAACAATGACAAACCTGTTTTGAAAATAGTCAAATAATCTTGAATCTAAAGACTCCCATTTCAAAAGCCTTTGACTAATGGCAAATTAACTCTAGAACAAATGACTCTACAGAGAATAAATCAGTAAACCTTACATAAGCTAGGTTGTGTTTTTGTGAAAAGTCTATATTGCAGATCTGACTAGGAAATAAAAATGCATACAGTACATTATGTAACACTATATTAGAGTTCCATTTATTTCTTATAACCATATTTTGCCAGCATTAGTCTATTTTTTAGTACTATAGAATTGACAGCATTTAACAAATTAACTGATTACCATTCTTTTGTCTTAATGACTTTTGCACATTGTGCTCTTGTTCCAGCTAACAAAATGTAATTTAAAGACTCCAAAAGCATTAATTTACACAAAAGCTGACAATTGTACTTTTGCTTTATAAGCACTCTACAATCCAAGAGGAAGACTTTACCATACTAAAAGGTGTACAAGTTAAAATATTCAGTAAGGTTTCAGGTACCGGTAGTTGCTCTACGTGAAGGTTTTTAAAATGTTAAGCATTGATAGTATTTGGAGTTTTGCATTCATTTTTTTTTCACAAATACAGAAAAGAATAAGTGATCTGTTAATATAAGGACATAGTTATTCAGAATCAATTCGGGGGGGGGGGGGATCCCAACCACAGAATCCACATTATAAAAGGTTTTTAAATAACTATCGGTTAAGTTTCACTTACTGCAAAAAAAAAAAAAAAAAAAAAAAAAAGTTTCAAAGTTGGGGCCACCAGGGGTTGCTAGTGCATTCTTTGTAAAAACAAAAAACAAAAAAACACCAAAGAAAAACAAAAAAACAACAACCAAAAACACCTAAAAAAATAATTATCAAAAACCAGAGGTCTGAACTCCAATTTGAGGAAATACCCCTGTGCTCCATCAGTACAGCATAACTCACCTTTGCCAAAAATTACACCCTAGTCCTAAGCATAAAACAAAATTAGGACCTGTAAAAAAAACATCCATCCATCTATCTATATAAAATAAAAGTACTTTTCAAGGTTATAAGTTTAAATCTGGGAACCCCCGGGATAGAGAAGCATTAAAGCTACCCGTTGATTAATCTCATCACTAAAGCAAGTAACAGACCAAACTCCTTTTTGCATCATTACACATTTATTTCTTTAGTAAAGACAGCATTAGCAGTGAACATCTAAACATTTTCACAGAACAATTTCCTTTCAGAAGATCATACCAAGACATTTACCAAGTTGATCAGTCAAACATGAACAAGAGCTATCAGTTGTGTTTAAAAAAAGAGAAGTGTTTCGGAGACAGGACAAGAATAAGAAGAGTTCATTTGGATTGTCTTGCATGGAGCAGCTTGTCCTGTCAGCACATTTGAGGTGAAGATCTTCATTTGTCCTCTTTAAATAGAAGCTGTGAAAAAAAAAGAAAGTTAGGTTTGTTCCATTATTGTAGAGTCAGGAACAGCTGCTTATTTGTGGCAAACCTGTGGTCAAGCAAAAGGATTCCCAAAAGCATCTCCAAAAGCCCCCGTGGAAACAGAAGACTGAGCAACAGTTGTCTGCAAAAGAAATGCATTTAATATCCAGGGATATTTTAACTAAAGCAGTTTTAAACTAGAGGTCTCACACCCTGGTCTTGAAAAATTTAATTCCTGCAAGTTTCAGATACACCCCTGCTCAAACACAGCTGAATCAAGTGTATGCCTCATTACTACAGTAGTCCTTTGCCAAACTTGATGCCATGCTGAAGAGGTAATTTAGTCATTTCAATTAGCTGTGATAGAGCAGGGGTGCATCTAAAATCTGCAGGACGGATGTAGTAGCGGTTTGTTACCATTGCTGCAGGGGGTGCTCCAAAAGGATTGGAATCTGGAGCACCAAAAGCTTGATCAAACATATCCTGACTTAGGCCTTGTCCCACTGTTGGCTCTGAGCTCTTAGGGACTGGAGCCGAAGAGAAGGCAGCATCAAGTAGGTTAGGAGTAAAACTTGGAGGTGGAGCTGCTGCAGAAGTTGGGTTTGGAGTATCTGAGATGAGAAATTTTTATTACTCAGCAAGTACTGAACAAAGCTAGCAAGGTTTGAATTGCATAAAGGCAGATTCTATGAAGGCATACCATAGCTAACAACTTTAAGACAAAACCTACCCCAGATTTTGGTTTTTATATAAGAAAAAAAAAAAAAAAAAAAAAACACACCTTTCATCTATGGGCTAAGATAAACTGACACTATGCATCTACACTTTCAATTTATTTGGAAAGTCTCCCTTGAAAAAGAGATTCCATGTTTAATCAATGGTCTATAAAAAAAAAAAAAACCTTGGGTTTCCGAATCTAAGCAGCTTGAGTTTTAAATGACAGAATACACCATCTGCATAAATATGATTAAAGATTTTGGGGAAAAAAAAAAAAAAAAGTGTTCTTTCATTCAAATTTTTAAAGTAGGAATAACTGATCTCTTTTCCATTTTAAATAAAAGGCAGATAGGTTTGTAAATGTTGGTAGCACAGGAAAGGGAGCAGTTAATTAATTAATCTGTGAGGCTTACCATTATTAGAAAGTGAGGATATCTGATTAATATCAAAGTCGTCATGGTCTGCAGCATCCTGAGCAAGACCGACTTTATTGGAAAAGTACTCATCAAATGCTCCTGCCTCCTTGTTAGGAGGTGGAGCAGAGCCTGGCGTGATCTCCCCTTTCCTTGCCGGGATGGCGGGAGGTTTGGCAAGCTGGAAGTTTTTGAACATGTCCTTTCCAGTTTTCTTCTCCTTATCTCCAAGGGGATCAAGAGCTGTGAAGGCACTGTTCTCCACTCGTGGTGGGGTCTCCTTAACTGGCGGCCTCGGAGGGGGGCGTGACGGACCATGTTCTCCCATTGCTTGGAAAGGATTGGATGCAGCAGGCTGAGTCCACTGGAGGTGAGGAGGAGAGAGGGGTGGGGTGCTGAACTGTGGTACCACCTGCGGCCCCCAGGCTGGGGGCTGCATGGGAACGCCAAAGGGGGTTTGTTGCGGAAAATTTGGTCTAGGGCCGGGAGCAGCCATTCCTGGCATGGGGAACATCCCCGGAGCTGCAGGAGAGGCACCCCACATGCCTATGGCAGGTACACCTGTTGCTGGTGGACCTAGTTGAAGATTCCCTGAATGTTCAAACCAGTAAAGGTTCAATTAAACACAAGTTGGAAAACATTTCATAAAAGATTGAAGTATAGAGATTTATTACCCAGAGCGGCTATGGTGGAAGGAGCAGTATTTGTGGGTGTATTGTTAAAAAGATCCACTTGAGATGTTTCAGAAGTAGCAGGAGCAGCAAACAGGTCAGCACCGAACAGGTCACTTGACCCAGACTAATAAGAGGAAGAGGAATATGTTTAAATATACACAGACAAAAAAACAAACAAGATTAGACCAAATTATAGGAACTTTTATAAACTAATTACAACTTGGCATGCTTATTATGAAATCCAAGTAACTGAATACCAATGTACACGCATGCTCTGACACTTACCAGTGCTCTTTAGTCACTCGAAGCATAAATAGGAAATAAAAAGGGTAAGAGCCAAGGGAAGTAAGAGTGGTTTTTCAGCAGCATAGTCAAAATGCAATAACCACCAGTGCAAGATCTACTTGTCATTTTGAGGCCTTGCACCTACATCCATGCAATCACCAACCTGACCTTGCAAAAACCAGTGAAGACCCCAAAACCAGGCATAGACGTTAGCACCCATCAACAAGCCAAACCCCATTTTCATGCATCCCAACTATAACTCAGCTGACTGTGTGATTTCACCTTTGCACTCCTTCGACCGCGTCCGGACTTAGAGCTCTGTGGAGGTGGGCTTATGACAACAGAGTCATTGCTATAAGTCGCCGGTACTCCTGGATGACCCGTTATCTCAGCGACAGGAGACGTTTTCAAACAAGAGTCCAAAAATGGGTTTTTGCTTGAGACTGCTTGTTGACATTCATTCCCATCCATCATTGTTATTGCATTCCCCTGTGTTATACTACCCCCTAGTGGCCACTGTCCATTGTTGAGAGCAAGCAGCATCGATTTGCTGGATAATATGTTTGTCTGATTGTTTTGAACATCTCCATTCAAACTATCAAAATTTGTCTTAATGGTGCTGCCAGCAGCAATGCTAAAGTTACCGGCAGGGGATGCATGTGCAGTGGTTTCAAAATTATTGGTTGGACTGGAAAGGGGGTCATCACCAAATGGATCACTTTCTGGAGCAGGAAAGAAGCCATAAGCTTGAGAATTTTTAGAATTTGTGGATGTTTCATAGTCTGGGCCAAGGGAGTTCAGAAAAGCCAGATCCTTTATGCAATTCTGGTTGCTGTCTACTCCAGCAGAAAAGTCCAGCAACAGAATGTCATTAGACTCCTGGTTAACGTGAGGGACAGTGAGAGAGAAGAGAGATCAATTAATCAGCTTGGGAAAAGAGTGCATATTAACAAAATGATCAATGAATCACACAGTGAGACACAGGTTATTCAAAGCTGCTGCCTGTGGAATATTTAAAGCAAATATGTGATCATTTGTGGCCACTTCAAACTTTCCAATTTTCTCATGTCACAAAAGCTTAAGTTGTGAAATGTTACACTGCATACAAAGTCTGAAATATCCACTCAGGGAAAGTAAAATATGGACCAAGCTGCAAGTCCTAGAAAAGTAGTGCCAGTTAAGATACAAATCTGGATTTTCAAACATATCTGGAGAATGTTTCGCAAAATTTCCAATTTATTCCTGTTTAAAGAGCAGGAGTTGCAGTGCCTTCATCCATGCCTGAAAATACACAAGTCTTTCAGAGCCAACAGCTTAGTAAAGTGCCACCCTGATGGCAAACAACTTATTTAATTTGGCTGTTATATTTGTGACTGAACAATCAGCTAAAAGTAGACATCCAGTAAACATTCATACAAGTTGAAAGAAACTACTTTAAAATAGACTTTTGCTTCGCTTCTGTAAATTTCACCAATTACCAAAATGAGTATGCACCAAAACATGCAGGGGTAAAAGTCAAATTCTACATGCAGCAGCTTTAACATCAAGATGAACATTGATTGGTAAAGGGTTACTTAATTCAATTCTTTACATAAAACATTTGATCTCCAAGGACGATTTTTTAGTGCTGTGCTTTAAGATTAAAAAGTGAGGGTTTGTGCTATAACCAAATACAGCCTATGCATTTTAGCCAGTTTAAAAAAAAAAAAAAAAAAGAAGTAGAACAGAATTTGTAGTAGATACCAATTTGATGAGTAATATCATAAACCTGTAATACAAAGGAAAACTCCAATTTGCTGTCCAGATAGAGATAATTATAAAACTTACATTTGGAGACCTGATGTCTGGAGGAGTTGTAATGTCTCCAAAAAGGTCATGCTGTTCCACTTGCTGGGTGGGGAAAAAAAAGATTAAATAAAAATCCTTTTAAAGCCATAAGTGAGGGGGGAATAAAACAAATAAATCCTACCTGGGCAGTTTTTGAACCACCATCTCCACTTTGCAAGGCACCTCCATTCTAAGAGGAATAAAAATAAAGTCAGAGTTAAACTTCCACCTAAAAAAAAAAAAAAAAAAAGCAGCTTTAGAATGCTTACCTCAACGCCTGTAGAGCCATTTTCAGCCTGCAAGCAGAATTACATTGTTAATGATTAGATTTCTTCCCCTAAATTATGCTGATGTATGCATGATTTGAGTGAAATGGCAGGAGGAGGATGTGATTTCCTGAGAGAACACAGAGAGGCACTGTTCGTTTTCAAGAGGTACATACAGTACAGATTGCGTCTTGGCAGCCTTGCCAGGTAAAGACAAACAGTCCCTCCCCCCCGCAATCAACAAAGAAATTCAGTCACTGCCCAAAATTTGAAGGGAGGGGAAGGAAATTACAGCTTAAGTCTAAATGCTACCTTCTGTGATGACTCTGCTTCTTTCGTCCTCATGTTAAAGATGACTTGGAAAAGATCTTTCAGGTCGATGACCAAGGGTTCAGCCTGCATGTTACCATAAAAGGCAAAGTGTCATTGTTGTGACTCTAAACTTACAGTCCCTTATTCATCTCACGTTACCTGTTGTGCCGTTTTTATAGCAAAGAACTGATGCTGTCCTTCAGCTCCGCATACATATCCAAACGCTCTGTTGTCAGTTACGTCTCTGGCAATGAAGGAAATCCTGTTCACCAAATGCTCATGTTCAATTACCTGAGAGAACAAAAACATGATCAAGATTTATCTGGAATGGAGGTAGTAATCCTGAACTTTTAACAGTAAACAAGACCCACTCCTGATTTCTCGTCAATGATCTTTAGACCCGACATGGAAATGTTGACCCAAATTCTCTGTTTGTGCTTGCCTTGGGACCGAGCCGCTACAGCCATCCCCTACAGTAAAACAGATGTTTCATTACAGGAAATTGTTCCAACGGTTTAAGGTTACACTTGATTTCCAACTGTTATGCTTTACCTTAAGTTTCATCATAGAATCCTGGCACATTTTATCTCCTCTGGCCTCTGGGACGTCATCAATGCCAATCAGCTTGGCTTTGTACCTCACGCCGTCCCCTTGAAACCTGCTCAAGAGATACTCATCTGTCTTCTCTTGAACTTGAGGGGAGTAAAAAAAAAAAAAACAAAAAAAAAAAACACTATCATTGATCTGCAAATTTACAAACACTTATGCACTTAGGTGTTTTAAGTTATGCATTTTGGCCAGACATTTCAGACTTTAATAAAGTTCTAAAATCTATTTAAATTTCACATTTGACCAAAACACATTGCATCATATTCACTATTAATAATCATGGTTCTTATTTGAATGCTTAGAGGAAGGATTATTTATTCTTTCACTATAAAGATACATAAAGTCATTGCTTATAAAAGCAGACATGAACCATTATAGACTACAGGAGTCAGCACAAAACTACCAAAGGTATCTAGCTAATCAAAATTTCCAGCATATTTATCGCACCATATAACACCAGGCCTGACTAAAATATGGTCCTTTCTTTGGAAAGGTGGTTAAGCCTATTTTAATACATTTGCCATATTGACATCCTCCCCACCAGATGGTGGCAGTAATGCATACCAGACACTTGTCTGCCTGCCACAAATAAACCCAAAAAGAAAACCATTTCAAACAAATTCAAAATTGATTTTGCTTGGAGAGAAAAAAAAAAAAAGAAAAAAAAAAGGAAAAGGCTGTGGCAGAAAATTAAAAAAACATTAGAATGTTGCATTAAAATTGGTATGACGCTTGTGATTTTTATTACAAAGCATATGACCACCTCACAGCACAAACTCATGGTTCATATATGCCACCTTTGCTTAGGAAAATTAAAGCTCAAGATCTATTAAAATTAAATTGCTGCATGGCTATTGGACAATTCTCAGAAAAAGTCATTGGTTCAGCTCATAAACAGTAGCCTGTTAGCTTGTAAACATTTTTAATAGCAGGCATTTATTGATGCTCAACATATAGCTCCAGCTCTTGGTTTGGAAATGCATTTTAATCTCAATTTTGATACAGAGGGTAAAGAAGAATGGCAGTAGCTTATTGTGTTCAATTAAAAAATGCCACCATTTACAGAAAAAGCAACACAAGATTTCAACTGGTGGTCAGATGTTAAAGTCCATCTTATCCCATGTTTTATAAGCCATTACGCTTCTAAGAACTGCTCTGCAAGCCATGCTTCTGAAGCGGACCAATACGGTTGCTGGAAGTGCAAAACAATATCACATTTACCTGGGAGACTTTTACAAGTTTGACAGAACAGTAGGCCAGGAAACAGTCAGCTTGTTTGGCTACCACCAACTTCTTGGTAAGACTAGAGCCTCGTGACTCAGGAAGGGCAGGTTAAAGAGCTTGGGAATGGGATATAACTCTGCAATGCATAGCAGAGTTAGCACACATCAGGTACACTAAAGGCAATCAGTATGGTTACAACAGTATCTTGTTTCTTAGCAGTGGTTGTGTTTTAAACTGTCTTAGTTGCTGGCTAGTCTGGAACGATTGCAAAATTCACATCTTTTAATCCCACATAATTAAAAGACAATCAGAGGCACGTTTGCGACTTTAGCCCTATTCCAACGGGGTTTATAATAGGATATATTTGGCCTGCTATTATTTGCCCAACACCAACGTCCTCTGATAATACTCAAATGTGAATAGTAATTAAATTGGAGTGATCAGGGCAGTTTTACCAGTCGCATAAGGAAAGATCCATAAATCACGTTATCCCAGCGTGAAAAGGCCATTTTGGACAACAGCATGCACATGTACATTCTGGATAAGTTGGATTATTCAAGAGTTATGGATGTAGTTTTCACACATTTGTAGTCTGTATGTCAGCGGCCTTCATCTCAAAATGATAATCCACTGCACCGAGAGAGATGTTGGGCAGTATGTAGCATTGAGATATCTGGCATCTTCAGTTATCCCATGAGAAATGCACGACAGGAGAAAGTGTTTAAATGTTTTGTCAAACTTGTAAAAGTGTCACAGGTAAATGTAATATTGTTCTGCATTCCCAAAACTGGTTTAGATCCTTAGGACTGAACTACAACTATGTCACCATAACATCCAGAACTAACCTTTCCGCTTCTCCTTTTTCAACAGGGTCTTGGGTGTGGTGGTCACAGGAGAGGAGGGCGGGTTGTCGGTGGTTGAGGGTGTGGAGGTTGGGTCAGCAGTTGCTGGTAAACCGTTTTCCACCTCTGTAGACATCATGTGTAGGTGTCCAACTTAACTGGACCAGCAACAATCTGAGGCAAAGCAGGCTGCAGCTCTGTTCTGGTGCAAAGATGTGAACGATGCTTTTGACTCTTAGCACCCACTCATGCTTCTTCTTTCCCCTGGAGTAAGAAAATTAAGTTGATTAGCCCAGTTAGGGGAAAAAAACAAAAAACACTGTTAAAGTCTTTTAGTCAAAAACTCCTGGTAAAATCTTAAACGACTGAAGAAAAAAAAAAAATTGTTGTAGTTGCAAACCATAATTTAAAAAGAGTTTAACTTATTGAAAATTACATGATGTACAATAAAAAGTTTTACAACCACATAAACAGCCAAGAGATGAACCATTATGAGCCATAAAACACTCACAAGACTGCACAAGATATTTTGACTCTGACCCTAAAATTCTAAACAGCTTTTTGCATTAAAAAAATAAAAATCCAAGTCCTTTTTGAGTTTATTTGCAAACTAATACAATCCATCAGGACACTAATGTTCTACCATTTCACAACCCCATCACATGATTAGGCATTCTACACAAAAAATAAAAGACATTCTTGCTAAAGAGTTTGCCAACATTGCTAATGTTGCCAAGTAAAGGCCTATCAATTTTCACTCAACACTAATCTCAGAGAAAAATGGCATAAATATGCAATACAGGAAATTACCCAATATTCAAATTGAGCCACAATCCTGTTTTTAAATTACAATGCCTCTAAACCATCTAGTGTATCAACCCAACATTATGAAATAATTACAATTAAATTCCCTTTGCTACAAAAAAAGAACCACACAACCAATAAAAAGACATCCAGCACAAATCCAGCTGTACCTAGTTACAGACATACCTTTAGGACCAACCTCAGAAGGAACACTAGTTAGAACAACGATGCAAAGAGCCTGTGACTACCGTTTAGCAGACCAAAGGTTGGAAATGGGCAAAGGTTGAGCAATTACCTAAGGTTAATCTTACGCTAGCAGAGCTAAAGATCTCGTGATGCCCAGCTAAGCAAGTACAAGAGGAAATTGGTGCACTTAGAATGACAGGTTGTCCACAGCCCTGTTATTTTTCAGCCTTGAAGGAGGAACGGCAGACTATCAAGCAGAGATAAGCTGGAAGCAGAGGAAATGAGACAGATATTGACAAAAGATGCATACCTGCAGGTCAGCAAATGTGCTACAGCTTGATGCCAGTAATTATCTGACAAATGAGCAACACCTGATCATACAAAGGGGAGGGTAGGCCTGATTTCAGACCCTCCCATAGGCCCTACTACTTTAAAGAAGACAAGCTGCATTTAGCAGTTCAAATGCCTTAAGTTACATTCAACCCATAACTTCTTGATAGGATTTCAATTGTGTGGCTTTTCACAAGAGCTACTGGTAATGTGTAAAACAATAAACTTTAACATTATCAGCTTGTGCGGGTGTTAAACACACCAAGTAACAGCATCCACTGGTGTGTTTACTTTATTCCCCATGTAAATCTCTGCAGGCCACTGACACATGTTGATTTGGTTGTGCTTGAGAGGAAAGTTAATGCTCCACCTGCATGAGCCTGACACATGATGTTCTAGTCCATCAGCTACAGCTGGGGCAGATGTCCCTCCAACTTTAGGAAGGCCTAATAAATCTGGTGTACTGTCAGCACTTCCCGGGTAGTTCCAAGTTACATTTTAACAAAGATCTCTAGAGATGCATGTTAGGATGACAAGTCTGGAGGTTTCTTAGCCGAACGCACTGGTGTCACAACTAAAACCTGACCACAGAGCACAATTGTGAATCTTTGTGTCAGCAGATTTAAAAGTAGTGCTGAGGGGCAGAAATGTCACAATGCAGGGCCGTCAGGAAACATAAACTTCAGCACATCTGGAGGAAATCAGGGAATGAGTCAGACTGCGAATGAATGAGATGGTGAAATACCACAGGGGCCACTGTGAACACAAAGGGCAGTCATTTCTAAAATGCTTTTAGAATTAAACAATGCAAAAATGCTTAAGGATTGCACATGGTTAAATATTTAGACTTCTTATCAAAAAGGTAAATTGTTTGGAGGGGTCTCATAGACAAGAGATTAAGAATTCATGTTTAGTCAGAATAAAACAATGGAATAGGTTAAGCATTTAATATAAGGTAAAAGAAGAAAAAGACTTTAACACCCATAACAATCGTCTCTATGAGTCTAAGGACTCATAAACATGTTACTGTGGTACTTAAAAAACAAAAAAACAATCTCTGTTGCTGCTGAGGCTCCGAACACACTAAAACAACTTGATGACGTACCTGTTCAAGCGCGCAGTGTGACAACTTTAGTTTTTTGCCGTCTCACCTCCACGGATCTGCAGCGCAAACGGGAGAAAAATGAAACCCAGCTTCGGACAAGGAGCAGGAGTCTGACTTTTTCTGCTAAATACCGTGGGCACAGGAGAGACTGCAGGCAGACAGCTCAGACTTTTAACTCTTCACTGACTGACTCACTGCAGTTTTAAAGGGCCAGAGGGGCGGTCACTAATAGAAAAGGCATTGGGGGAAAAAAATGCTTTCATAACGTCAAATAAAAATCGTGCAAAATTGGCAGTTAAAATATTAACAATAAGAAAGATTCAGTTGAAAATACTTTTTTTTTTTTATATCATATTGCATTTCTTAGCTTTGCAGAGTTTTGCATAGTTTGTAAAACGTATAGGGGAGTGATAAAAATGACTTATAAACAAATAAATGTATATACAATAAAAAATGCTTTAGTTGGGCTGTGCAGTGGGTTGCACTGCTGCCTTCAGCAAGAAGGTTGTGGATGTGATTCCCGGCCCGGGATCTTTCTGCATGGAGTTTGCATGTTCTCCCTGAGCATGGGTTCTCTCCGGGTACTCCGGCCTCCTCAAACAATCAAAAAACATGACTGTTAGGTTAATTGGCATCTCTAAATTCTCCTTAGGCGTGAGTGTGTGTGTGAATGGTTGTTTGTCCCCTTTGTCTCTGTTTTGCCCTGCCATGGACTGGCTACCTGTCCAGGGTGTAGCTCGCCTTTCACCCATTGATAGCTGCAGATAGGCACCAGCATGCCTCATGACCCTGTTTGGGATAAACATGACAGGAAATGGATGGTTAAGGTATTAATATTGGCTTTTTTTTTGTCTCACTGAGAAGCTGACTATTCTTGCAGTAAGCCGTTCATTGTTTTCATCAGGGAGACAACCTGGTGAGAGATATATTCTCAGTGGTAGCTGATTTTTAGTAACCTAATGGTAAAAGGCTTGTACTTATATAGCAATTTTAAGTAGGACTTCACCAAAACACTAACCACTACATTCAGTCATTCACCCATTCACTCACACTGATTGTGGCAAGCTACATTGTCTCTGTGTTGCCCTGTGATAGACTGGCGACCTGTCCAGGGTGTACCCTGCCTCTCGCCCGTAGACAGCTTGAGATAGGCACCAGCACCCCTCACGACCCTGCCTGGGATAAAGCGTGACAGAAATGGATGGATGCTTTAGTTTTTAATTGCCCTAGCCTGTGAGGAAGTGGTAACTACCAGAATTTAACCCTGTCCCCAGTATATAGAAAATCGTTCAGCAGATGCAACTGCAGAATTTTCCTCTTCTATCTTAATTGTATACTAAAAAAAAAATCTGCACATAAGGTTCAAAATATATATTAAAAAATAGCAGTTTCTGAATAGATTAAAAACGCCTTTTCTGTACACAAAACAGTAGAAGATAACTGACAAACACTATTTTAGATAACTTATAAACATGATACTAAAATGTCATTTTTAAAACAAATATCAAATAAAAATCTTTATATGCAAACCAGTGCCCAGTTTATAAGAGAGCGGAGACACTCTATACTAGTCATCCGGTGGATCGATCAGGAACCGGTGATGACAAGATATATGGGAGGACTTTTCCTCTTTAATGAAGAACATAGTATTTACCAGAAGGAAGAATTCAGAAATGATTTCTTAAAGTGATCTGAGCCTATGTCACTAGCTGCTACACAAGATAAATGTGCAACTATTTCCAAGAAAGCACTGGAGATCACCTTTAATGATTTAGTCTATTTTTATTCAAATGTATTTACTTTTATTACAAGTATATACTTGTATTTATGTCAGATGATAAGGGTTTGCAACCTGTAGTTATGTCCCAGCTGATAAAATATTTATGCCAGACAAAGCCATCCATCCATTTTCCATCACGCTCATCCCAAGCTGGGTCACAAGGGGTGCTGGCGCCTATCTCCAGCTGTCTACAGGGTACATCCTGGACAGGTCACCAGTCCATCGAAGGGCAACACAGAGACAAAGGAAGCCGGAGTACCTCTGCATGCTCACAGAGACAAAGACCCCAAGCTGGGAATCAAACCCAGAACCTTCATGCTGCAAGGCAGCAGTGCTATCCACTGCCCCACTGCCCGCCAGACAAAGCATGCCTATCCAAATGGCCTTGTGGATTAAGGAATGGTGCAGACCCGATTGCTGCACCCTTTTATTAAGCTCTCTCACCAGCAAATATAGCTAAAAAAAACTGAAAAAAAATATAACTCCTCCAAAAAAGGATCAAGACAGCATAGTGTTTTAAAAAAGACCTCAGTTTTTCTCCCTCTAGCTGTGTCCAAAATCTGGAGCAAAAGCAAATAAAATGGGAAGGTTGCAAAAGGTGAACGTTGAGACAGGCCAACAAAGGTGTTCAAGAATGAGGATGGAAATCTTAAAGCAGATCTGAATGTAAAACCTGCACTTAATACAATAATAAAATTTTGAAATAATTGCATTATCTCAGCTTGCAAGGTTTCAAGTTTGATTAAAATGACAAAGGAAATGTTTGAGGATAGGAAGTGTTTTAAAAGAATATCTCTCTGGGTTTTCATGCTTACCAAGGCTGAAACATTAGTAACAGCAACAAATGTGGCTTTGTCAAAGATGTGGTTTATTTTCTCATTGTCTCAAATAGCAGTTCAATGGTTGATGGTCAACGGAGAGGGCATTTTTAAATGTGTCCTTGTACCAGATACTAGATAAATGGAGGAAAAACCAAGGAGCTAGTGGTGGACTTTCGAGAAGCAGATCCACCCAGTGGACAAAGGTGAACATCCAGGGAATGGACATTGAGATGGTAGACTCTTATAAGTACCTAGGTGTTCATCTGATTGGACTCACAACACTGAGGCTGTGTATAAGAAAGGACAGATCAGACTCTTCCTGCTGAGGAGACAGAGGTATTCTGGAGTGCAGGGGGCGCTCCTAGAGACCTTCTCTGACTCTGTTGTGGCATCAGTCATCTTCTATGAAGCTGTCTGTTTGAGCAGTGGCTTACCTGTAGCTGAGAGAAAGCAGCTGGATAAGCTGATCAGGAAGGCAAGCTCTATGATTGGATGCCCTCTGGACTCAGTGCAGGAGGTGGGAAACAAAAGAAAATCTGTTGGATAATGTCTCCCATCCCATGCATGAGGTTGCATGGGCTGTTGCAGAGCTGGAGAGCTCCTTCAGTAAGAGACTGCTGCACCCCAAATGCATCAGGGAGCGTTATCACTGATCCTTCCTCCCAGCAGCTGTAAGACTCTAGAACCACCACTGTTCCCAACAACCTCAATAAGTTGTTACATTCATGTTGATTTTAGACAGTTTCTACCTTAGTCAGTTAAATAACATCTCTGATGTTGCTGCTTTTTTCAAATATCCATTACTGTAAAAATGTCTATAGCTGTATATTGGTTGTTTATTCTCCAGGTGCACAGTTTTATGTTGTTAAAACACTTTACAGTGGCGTATTTCATTTGTTTATTTTTTATCTCTTCACAATTAATTTATTCTTATACATTTTCTAGGCTCCACATTTGTGTGAAAATTTTTTTCTGTAATCTTTTTGCTGCAGTGAACACCAGAATTTCCCCATTGTGGGAATATTCTATTCTATTTCTATTTTATAAAGTAGCTGGTGAAAGACATGCTTAGAACAAGCAAAATATGTCATCTTACTCTATTACCAAACAAGCATTTCTGAAATATTGAATACCTTCAGTTCTTAGAGGATAAAGTGAACTGCTGGATCCCAGCAACATAAAATGGCCAAGATATAAACATATAGAAAGACTAGTTTAAAACTTTAAGCCAGGTGAAGATCAGGAAGGAGACCTGCCATTATCCAGCTTTACTACAAACACAGGATTTCAGAGCAAAGGGTTCATCAGATGAAACACCAAAAACGCACCTCGAAGGGAAATCACTAAAAAAACTAAAGGTGGAGCAATACCCAAGCCTCATTCTTCACTTAGTCGAGTCTAATCTCAGAATCAGAAAATGCTTTTTCGGTAAGTAATATTTTAACTCATACAATGAATTGGTCTTACTGGTAAGATGCAAACAATAGACAACAAATAAGCACAGGAATACAGAAAAATTGGAATCAACAATTGCTAGTTGAAAATGAAGAGCACCATGACAATTAATAAACAACATAAATAGAATTCAATTAAACTGAATATCAAACAAAAGTGCTGAGGTGATCTTATTTGTTTATATCTTTAATATAAAGCTGAAGAAATTAGAATATGTAATAAAATGATGGAAATTCCTCAAAAAGTAAAGAAAAAGGCATTAAAGTGCATAGTTTGTCACAGACATTGAATCACTATTGTTTACTTGCATCAGGCTTAACTGGACCAGTTTACACAGCAGGAATGGAGGATCTTCTTTCTCTTTACTGAGATCTCTGGTTTATATTTTTTAAACCAGATTTCCATAGAAACAGACTAGAGATTACAAGGTAAAACAAAGAGCAATTCAGAAGCCTTCACAAGGACAACAACATGACATTTTCCTGGGCCTCATTCTGGAGACAGGGCTGGGGCTGGAGCTCTTTGGCATGTGCCTTGTGGCCAGTTTACTCCTTGTAGGACCCCTGTCGTCCTTTTTAGGGGACATCCATGAAAAAAGGGAAACAACAGTTACACATTGAGGGGCTTGATTGTAAGAAATGCCTCCAAAGTCTTTAAATTAAGTGGATCATACTCCTCTTCTCCGTTTCCCTGACACCTCCTCTAGTGGGAAGCCCAAGATAATCTGCAGAAAACATTTTACTCTTAGATAATAATGCCTTAGATAAAGAAATACATTAAAATTGAAGTGTGAAACAGAGGAAAACGTATTTCAGATCAAGTAAAACTAGTGATTAGTCCAGCATTATATTCACAAAAACAAAGTCCACACAGGTCTATATATGCAGAATGTTTCCAATCTAAACCAAAGCATGAACACTTGGGGGGTCACCTGGACATGACTCATTCATCACCCAGGCCACAGTCAAAGAGGCAGTCAAAAAGATCCACAAAGGCAAGGCTTTGGGGATGGATGAACATCTTGGTCAGTCTACCTTCATCTATGGTCATAAAATATTATGTTATGGTAAATGGTCTATGACTATATGGCAATTTTTCAAGTCAGGAGACTTGACCAAAGCGCCTTAC